TGCATTTTTTTTAATATTTGGAATATAATAATGATTATTTTAAAAATGTTATGTCATAATTTTAATGTTTTATATTTAATGTAAACTATAAAAGTGACAATTGTCATAATACTCATCTCAGAACCTTTAAAAATAATTATAATTAAAAAAGGCTAGTTGAGCATGTTTTGAGATGGTTTCAGTGATTGTAAAGCATATAAAGGTGACAATTGTCATAATACTTATTTCACATATGTTTTAATTGAAAATAGAGAAAAATGATTAATTCAAACATGAATTAATATTTAATGTGTAAACTATAAAAGTGACAATTGTCATAATATTCATATCAGAACCTATAAAAATAATTTTAGGTATTAAATAGGCAAGAAAAAATTTTTTGAGCACGTTTCGAGATGGTTTTAATGATTGTAAAAATTGTCACAATCGTTATTTTTGAACTTTTTTAAAGCAAGTAGATAAAAATTTATTAAATATAAAATTAAATGTGGATGTACCATAGAAAAGTGACAATTGTCATAATCGTTATTTTTAATTTATTTTGAAGCAAAAGGGTAAAATTATATATTGTAAACCTGTTAAATTAAAATTTCAGTGAATATGTACCATAGAAAAGTGACAATTATCATAATTGTTATCTGAACTTTTTTGAATTAATAGGTAAAAATATATATTGTAAACCTGTTAAATTAAAATTTCAGTGAATATGTACCATAGAAAAGTGACAATTGTCATAATCGTTATTTTTAATCTTTTTTGATTTTTTTTGAAGAAATTATATATTGTAAACTTATTAAATTAAAATTTCACTGAAGAGAAAAGTGAAAATTGTCTTAATCGTCATTTTTAATCCCTTTTAAATTTTTTTGAGCTTACAGGGTAAAATAATAAATTGTAAACTTGTTAAATTTAAATGTGGATGTACCATAGATAAGTGACAATTGTCATAATGGCCATTTTTAATCTTTTTTGAATTTTTTTGAAGCAAAGGGTAAAATAATAAATTATAAACATGTTAAATTAAAATTTAAATGAGGTTGTACTATAGAAATGTGACAATTGTCATAAACGTTTATTTTAATCTTTTTTGAATTTTTTTTAAGCAAAAGGGTAAAATTATATATTGTAAACATGTTAAATTAAAATTTCAGTGGAGATCTACCATAGAAAAGTGACAATTGTCATAATCGTTATTTTTAATCTTTTTTGAATTATTTTGAAGCAAAAATATAAAATTATATATTGTAAACATGTTAAATTAAAATTTAAATGAGGATGTACCATAGAAAAATGACAATTGTCATAATCGTTATGATCATTTTAGAATTTATTTGCTGAAACGAGCAGGTTTTTAGTTGAAGCCCGTCCATGGGCGGCCTAGCTTAATAATTTTAAAAAGTGCGAGCGAATCGGTTACAAAATTTTAACAATTAGCGGGCTAAAAAATTTTAACTTTAGTTTATTATTTTAAATCTATTAGGTAAACATTAAAAAGAATCTGTGAATATAATTCCCAGGAAATAAATTCCCATTTTTTAAGATATTAAAAATTAGTAAAATAGTCACTATCTCCGGTCCCTTAGATCTTTCTACATCTACATGTTGGTACCAATTAACATTATATTGTTTATTATTTATAATCTTTTAGATTTTTCCTCACAGGAAGAACCATCTTATTCTCAAAATATTTCAAATTCAGTTTTATTTGGTATAACAAATAATTCTTTACCCAATCAAATAAATTCTTCTACAATATACTCTGATACCTATCATAAACCACAAAAGAAATATAGCAATTGGAGTCAGGAAAAAATTGCAATAGCCATAAACAGAATTGAAATCTAAAATTATACAGCTAATAGAACGTAATAATGGATTTACGATAAAAAATATAGTGGAAAATTTACTACCTCATCTCATAATGAGTGATACGGGAATATCTATATAGATTCATTAAATCAATAGGATGGAGCTGAAAAAGGGTTGGAAAAGAACTCGAGAGACGGAATTCCCCAGATGTTATCAATATTTGTAAAGAATATTGATTAAAAATGTGAACATGTCATTTCAATATATATTCTATTTAGAATTCTCATGTCATTTCTTACTATGGATGAAACTCCCTCCTTCAAGGGGGAAAACGTATCGGTTTTGGGTACCATTACATCAATAAAATTTAAAGCTTACCTGGATGAATTATCATCCATTTTGCCGTTGAAATTAAGGATAATGCGCCCATATATAATAACACAAAATTTTCAAAATATAGTATATCTTGCACCAGAGAATAAAGTCATGAAATTATCAAATTTAAAATAAATATTGTTAACGCATTGTTATCGTATCGGAGGGCAAAATTACTAAAAAATAATCAGGGAGACCTTTGAATGAACCAATTAAGAAAAAAGTTCTATAATCTGCTATCAGATATGACAACATTACTTTTTTTCAATCTGGTGCCGCATCGCTGGCACCAGCAAATTTCATTTTTTTGAGATATTTTATTTTCTTTAATTCATAAGGCAAAACATTAAATAAAAATAAATAAAGGAGGGAGAGAGAGACAATGGGAAAAACGAAAAGAAAAGAAAATGCATTTTTTATATCTTCATTTAACATTTGATTTTTTATAAATATAAATAAAAAAAACATTAAATAAATGTATCCCACCCAAATTTATAAATGGGGGTTTTATTATAAAACAATTATTTTATTCATTTTTTTTATTTTATATAACATTATTAATTCCTGATTTTTTTTTTCAAAATATAATAAACAAGTAAAAAAAAATAAAAGGAAAAAACAAGAAAGTTAAACTTAAAATTAAAAATTACAAAATTATTTTTTTATATATAATGCAAAATAAAAAAAATAAGATGCAGAATTATTTAAATTATCTCAAATAATTCTTGCTGCTCCTTGCACCGAGGTCTCAGTTGAGAGAGCATTTAGTGCATTAGCACTAACTGTAACCTCTCTAAGGACAAGATTAGACAAAGATATACTTGATGATATTTTAATTATAAAGCTTAATCGTACATTGTTAAATAATGTGATATTTTAAATCATTATTTATATAACCTATTTCATTATAAAGTTATAGTTTACATTGAAATTTTAATAAATAAAAATTCATATATATGACTGATTTAGATGATAACAATATAAATAGATTTTTTGTATGAATAGTATAATCAGAGGGGGGCGTATTTTACTAGATATATCCAAATAGTAGTATCTAAGATCCAAAATTGATTTAAAAGATTAAAGAAAAAATATTTTTAAATTTGTTCCCAAAAATATCTTGTTTATATTGATGCATCTTTCTAGTTCAACTCCATTCCTGTTGGCTCAAAAAATTTAACATATATGATACTATTATCATCTGCCCAGAGGTTTAAGTGTTTCCCAACAAAATCATATTAACCTAATTTAAAAATAATGGATATGAGTAATGTGATAATTTCAAAATATATATATTAAAATAATTTCAAAAGGGAGTTGAGAATTAGATAAAAATTAAAAATGATAATTGTCACTTATCTATGGTAGATCTCCATTGAAATTTTAGTTTAACATGTTTACAATATATATTTTACCCATTTGCTTTAAAAAATTTTACAAAATTTTAAAAATAACGATTATGACAATTGTCACATATCTATGGTACATCTTCACTGAATTTTAAATTAAACGTATTTACAGCCTATATTTATACTTATTTGCGTCAAAAAATTTCAAAAAACTTTAAAAATAACGATTATGACAATTGTCACATATCTAGGGGAAATCTTCGCTGAAATTTTAAATTAACTGAAATTTTAATTTAACATATTTACAATCTATATTTTTACCTATTTGCGTCAAAAAAATTCTAAAAACTTTAGAAATAACGATTATGACAATTGTCTCTTTTCTATGGTATATCTTCACTGAAATTTTAATTTAACATGTTTACAATATATATTTTAACCATTTGCTTTAAAAAATTTCACAAAATTTTAAAAATAACGATTTTGACAATTGTCACATATCTATGGTACATCTTCACTGAATTTTAAATTAAACGTATTATTTACAGCCTATATTTTTACTTATTTGCGTCAAAAAATTTCAAAAAACTTTAAAAATAACGATTATGACATTTGTCACTTATCTAGGGGAAATATTAACTGAAATTTTAATTTAACATATTTACAATCTATATTTTTACCCATTATAGCGTCAAAAATAAACTAATATGTTTTAAAATACAGATTATGATATTTGTCATTTTTACAAAGGAACATCATCATTGAATTTATAGTTTAACATATTTATAATATAAATTATATTTTTACCCTTAGTACCAAAAATTTCAAAAATGTTAAAAAATAACATGACAATTGTCACATTAAAATATTATAAATAACATAAAAATTTAATACAAATATTTATAAATTATTTATAAATTATTTAAACTAGTTCTTTTAATATACTAAAAAAATAGATAATTTTACATAAATGATAAAAATAAACCTATAAAAGATTTCAACTAAAAGATTTATAATTCACAAAAATATTAATTAAAAAAGAAGATTTTAAATTCTTATCAATTCAATTTTTGCTTAAAAATTTGCATGAAAACCACTAATTAATTGTAACAAAAATAATATTATACACCTATTCGAAATATTCGTCCTCTAGTCGACTTAAGTTCTTGACTCAAATGGAAAACTCATGTTCTCGACTCAAATCGACTTGAGTGCATGACTCGAGTTGACTGGAGTTCACGACTTGAGTCGGCTTGAGTTCACGACCGTCGACTTGAGTTCACGACTTGAGTCAACTTGAGTTCACGACTTGAGTCGACTTGAGTTCACGACTTGAGTCGACTTGAGTTCACGACTTGAGTTCACGACCTGAGTCGACTTGAGTTCACGACTTGAGTCGACTTGAGTTCACGACTTGAGTCGACTTGAGTTCACGACTTGAATCGACTTGAGTTCACGACTCAAGTTCACGACTCAAGTTCACGACTCGAATTCACGACTAACGACTTCAGACTCTGAGTCGGAGTCGGGTGAACTCGACTTTTTAACAACACTACACCTACCCTTAGCCTATATGGAATTATATATCATGTCTAGAATTGACAGGCACTCGATCTTCAACTTTTAGCTCACCGCATATTACTTATTTTATGAAAAATTTTGCATATTCACGCCTTTTAAATTGGTATATAAAAGTAAAAGGTATATTTAATAATTATCAAATTATACAAGCTTTTTAAGTAAATTTATCATCGAAAATGGCAATGCATTCAAAACCTAAACTAATCAATCATGATAACTATACTGTACATATTTTGCCTGCACTTGAAGATAACTTTATGTATATCATAAATCAACATGACTCAAAAGATGCCATCGTTATCGATCCTGTGGATGCTGATTTAGTTTATGAAACAGTCAAAGATAGAAATTTAAATTTGTTGAGTATTTTGACCACACATCATCATTGGTATATTTAGATAGATATTTTTAACTAGGTTAATTATTTTCTAGGGATCATGCTGGTGGAAATGAGAAAATGTTGAAATTTTTACCCACCTTAAATGTTTATGGAGGTGATGATAGAGTCAATTGTTTGACCAAAAAGTTAACTGATGGGGATAAGGTTTCTTTAAATAATTTAGAAATCAAATGCTTATTTACTCCTTGCCACACATCTGGTCATTTATGTTATTTTTTACAAAGTTCTAGACATTCATCTGTATTTACAGGTTTTATTTAACCAAATATATTTTTTTAAAATTTTGCATTTTTTATTTTAGGTATGATTTTTATAATAAACAATTTAAAAGATAAGACATATGTATTTATATTTTTGCTTATTACAAAATAAATGATAATCCTTATATAATATATTGATCAAATATAAAGCTTTGCAATTTAAAGAATTTTACATCAAATAATTTTTTTAAAATATAGTATATTATTTAAACATTCATTTTGATTTTTTTTATATTACATTTATGAACCTTAAGATATATTTCAATAAAAAATGTATTTTTATAAATTTGCCTTGATTCATTTGTTGTCTTTGATAACCAATTTCCAAATAGTGATGCATGATATTATAATAATTGGAATTTGAGAAGTCATTAGAAATAAATTGATTAAGTATTGAGGTTAAATTATGTAAGACTTCATTTCTTGTATTTGTTGGGGATTGACTGGCCAATATTGGTTTATTAAAATTTCAACGTAATTTTATATTGGGTGGGCAAATCATGTGGCAAATATTACATTTGTTCATTAAAGCTATTAATGAGATGGTTTTATGTGTTGAAGCAGTATGCATAACAATTTATCACTTTATAGGATATTGATAAGTTCTATGATATAATCTCAAAATAATAAACTTTTATCTGATCCTCAATGGCATAACCAGGATTTTATCATAGAGGGGGGGGGGGGGTAAGAAGAATTTTTGGTGGGAGGCTTCGCTCCCAAATTCTCATTTTTTATGAACACCCAATTGCTTATATCTTAGACTAAATTATTTTAAATATTTGCATATAACAAAATTTTAGAGAGTATTTCATTATAGATTTTATTTATTATATAAAAATACTTTAGCATAAATAACATTCCTTTATTTAATCATGTATTTATTTTTATTATTTAAAATAAATTTCAAAATGTAGATATTTTATTCAGATTATGATATTAAAAATTTTATTGTACCAAAACTTTATTTTTAAAAAAAATGTAATTTAACAATTATATAAATATAAGTAATTCTTATGCAAATAATGGTATTTAAAAAAATATGATGATATTACACCGATTGTTATCTCTTCCCTTAAACATATGCCAAGCGGAACTTTAAAGTTTTTAAAAAATATAGGGGATAAGACAAGAGCCCTTACATCAGAACCTAAAGAATTTTATTTTTTAAAACAAAACCTTCAAATCACAATTTTAAAATATAATTACGCATGTTTTTTGGGAACTTGTAGTCCCACCTCCGTTTTTAATATTGTTTTATTTTATTTTATATTTGATGTGAGAAAACTATATTGAATAAAAATATATTATTATACCTGTCTCACCTAAGAATAGTATTCTTCTTTTTACATAATCTTTTAAGGGTCTCGTAGGATTTCGGGAAAAGTTTGGCATCTTAATTTATTTATAGAAAATAATGACATTTGATATACTTTGCAATATCTTTCACTTTCATTTGCCCTCTCTCTCTTGGGTACAGATAATATTTACTTGCTCTGTGTATTTTTTCCTTATCCCAGATTTTATATTTTCTTCTTGGTATTGTCGAAATTAAATTTGAAACAACAAGAATCACTACTTAGAGAGGGGAAATATGTATTATGTAATTATTTGTAGATGATATATTAGATATATATTACATTTTTTAAGAAAAGAATCAGGAATTGATGAAAATGGTTATATATTTTGAAAAGATTTTAAATTTAATTTAAAAAAATTTTAAGTTATAAAATAAATGCAAAAAATATTAAGTAAAATTTATACCATATTTATTTAAAATTATTTGATGTCAAATTTAGTTTTTTTAGATTATGTGGTTTTTACATCTGTTTTATTATATATTATTTAAGGATTGTCAATGTTTTATAATATGCAAAAATATAAACACACATTTTTATTGTTTGTATAAAAATCATACACTACCTTGTATACTTAATTCCATTGTGCATTTTATATCATAACCTAAAATATCACCTGAAGATAATTATGAGATTCTTGGCTTATAAAGGATTAATCTTGCATATTTTAAATTTAATTACCTCCAAACTATATATTAGAATTTAAAAAATAATAATATTATCTTCTCCATACCCTAACAGGCGACACTTTATTTATTGGGGGTTGTGGTCGATTTTTTGAAGGCACCGCAGATCAAATGTATAAAGCTTTAGTCAATGTATTGGGTCATTTACCAGATAACACAGTATTAATTATTTACATTATATTGCAATTAGGCTATTCCAATCCACATAATTTTTAACTATTCAATCCTATTACTATTAATTTGTTTTTAATATATGAGAATAAAACTAAAAAACGTTACATGAAATTATATTAAAATAATTTAGAACCAAAAGAATTTTAAAATGAACAATAGTTATGAATATTATAAAATCACTTTCTTATGACATGCCAAAAAATCAAGTTAGCTACTATATTTAAAATAATTTGATTTTAAACATTACAAATAAATTGAATTTTGGTTCCTTTAATGAATTTATTATTATAAAATAAAAGAATTATATAATTATCAGAGTGTTAAACCTTACTTTTAAAAGTAGCGTGATGCCGCTATCGCTATTTATCTACAAAGTAGTGCGATACCGCTAAATAAATTTGTTTTATTTTTTGCTTATAATGTAATTACATATAGTATATAATATTTTAAAATCAACATTTATAAATATTTAATAATTATTACGTTGTCCGCTTCTAACCTGAATATTATTCCCAGAATTAAATCACATTACTACAAGTCAAGGAAGCAAAATTATAATAATTTTAAATTTGAAAAGGGAGAAAAAAAACGAATGAATTATATTACAATTCGCTTCCCTTTTGTAGGGAAGCTCAAGTTAAAAATACATTTTTTTAAAATTATAAATCTCACAATCATGCTGAAATAAACTAAAAATAAAATTATATCAAATAAAAATAACTCAAAAATTGCAATACATAACTTCATAATAATCAAATTTTACAAATCTAAAAATAAAATGTTAACGCGATACTCTAAAAATAAATAATATCATTGCATAATGATCATTTACGATGATAAACGGAAAAGTCTGTCGTTACTCACGACAATAATTAGTTTGATTATAAAAAAATTTATGTAAAAAGACTATAATTTATGTTATAAAAATAACTATTTATAGTAATATTCATTTTTAATTTATTTTTTATGCATTTTAATAATAAAATTATTTTTATATTATCATCCCCAAGTCTAGAGCGACGATCAAAAAGTATAAGTTTCGCCTTACTAAATAATCTCTCAACACTAGTACTTGAGCGTAAGTCAGTATTTAATTTTATATACATATTTTTAATATAAGAAAAATTATCAAAAATACTCATTTGTTTAGATTTAAAAAACGCGTTTAAGGGATTTTCTATTATATTAGTATCATTTATAAAAAAATTATCTGGAACTCGTTTTTATGGTTCTAACTTTTGTTTTTATATTAGTTTGACGCTACTTGGCTACTTTTGAAAAAGGAGCGCGCTAAAAAAATATATAATTGGGAAAAAAGTAGCGCGCTATTAGCTATAGCTACCAAAAAAGATGGCGAGCTACTTTAACAACTCTTATAATAATATATAATTCTTCTATATTTAATGGCGATTTCCAGGTTTACCCAGGTAAGCCAGTTTCCCCTCTGATTTTCATTCTCCATTTCTGAGAGTCCTGAGCTTCATTATTTGTAAGATTGATTTTTCTCATATCCATTGCTAACACCTTTAACCATGCCATCTTAGACCTTCCTTGAGGTCTTGATCCTCTTACTTCCATCGAAATGGATCTCTTTACCCAGGCATCCTTTGTCTTTCGTTCCACATGCCTAAACCATCTCAGTCTATTTTCTCATTACCACTCCAATCACTTATATTCAATATTGGATCAGATCAGTTTTTTAACGTCGGCTTGATCCGATATTTAATATTGGCACAGTCCTAATTGCAATTAACATTCATTTCATTATTTATTATTTAGAAATATCTGTGATTTGGAGATCAGCACAACTGGCCTGAAACATTCAATAGTTTTTTTAAACAAATAGACTCCATTTGGGGAAGCCAAAAGCCTAACTTGAATCATGAAAAATATGAGCCCCAACTTGATTTGATTTTTTTAAAATAAACTAATAAAAAAAGTCAAGACAGTTTTTAATCTTTGGTTATTGTTGCAGATTTTGTTAAATTTTTAAATTAAATAAAATAATGGGGAAAGGATTTAAAAGGTTTGTCTCTCTAGTTTGTTAACTAAATTAATTTTTAATTATATACTATTAAAAAATATACTGACAGATCACCTTATTTTAAATTTCAATTTACAAATTTATTTATTGAATAATAAAATATGCATTGTAAAATCTTAGAGATTTATCACAAACAAACATTCTATTCTAAAATATATTATGTCGGGATATGGAATTAACAGGTATTCGGAATGTCAATTATCATTTACTCTTTCTCCTTTCTTTCTTTCCTACTTTCTTTCTTTATCTATTTCTGAAAATAAGAAAGAATGCGATTCTTAATGTTAAAATATTGGATATGTGGGATATTTTATCAAGCATGTGTAAAGTATCCATAATTTTAATTTCATACAATTTTAATTTTTATGTCAGAAGTTTCATATAAATAAATACACAAAAGTTAATTGCCAAATTTGTCTTAAATTCAGAAAATAGGTACTCTACATATGCTAGATTACATAAGCTCAAATCGGATTTTTCAAATTTAAAAATTTATTTAAAATTAAGAGGTTCCAAATCCCAATGGCGAGAAGTTCTCGAGTTCGAAACTTGGCCACCATGAAGAAAGTATGGAAATAACACTAAGTATTGAATAATATGATTTATTAATTTACACTAACAACTAAATAAACAAAAAGTAATAAAAATAATATAATAAATTTATGCATTACAATTTTTTAATGATGATAATATTGAATTATTTTTTCTTTAAATACTAAAAAAATTTAACTTATTCAATCAATCAAAATAAATTTAACAAAAAAAGTATAAAAGTTAAATTTAAGTTTAAAAAAAAGAAATAATAAAAAATCAATCCACAAAGTTAAAGAATACTATAAAGTAAAAGTTAATTTTGGTATAATAAAAAATCACGTTAAATATAAAAAATATCTTCAGAATATAAAATATCGATTACATTAACATTCCGTTCTCCAAAGAAACTCTGCCTAGATTCCTATTGGACATGTTGATTCACTGATAAAGTCTTTAAGAACGTTATCTACTCCGCATAATTAGCATCGCAATGAATATAGTCGGCCGTAAGAAATTTCGCTTTTGCCATAGTAATTCGTTAAATTTTGATACACGAAATCCCTCTTCGTAGAATAGTTTACATTACTTAGCTATGGCTGCTATCATCGTTTGTTTAATAACTTCGTTTAATAGTACTCTAACAAACTTATCTATTTATATATTTTATAAAACATGCTAAAAAAATAATTATTCAATCCTTTCACATTTTAATCAATTTTGAGAGAAATTGGTTCAATAGATAAAAAGTTAAAGAGTGGTGACCTGACCTGATGGCAAACATGACCATCCACTTTTCCCCTACACAATTTTTATTCTACCTATTACAATTATAATTTTAGACTGACCCTAGCTAGTTCAAAAACGCCACCTACTATAGATAATTTTTTTGAAATAAATAATAATACTATTGAAAATCTTTTAAACATATTTTTTTAAATCTAAAAATACTCATGAATATTTTTGATGATTCTTCTTATATAAAAAATATTTATATTATACTGCACTGCGTGCTAGTGTTGAACGATTATTTAGTCATAGCACTTTTTGATCATCGCCCTAGACTTGGGTATGACAGTATGGAAATGTTGTTATTATAGAAATGCAATAAAAATTATATTGAAATTTTAGTCATATTTTTTATTTGTGGAAATAGAAATACGTAAAAAATATTTTAAAAAAAATTCTAAAGTAGCGTAATAAGTAGCTTTAATTACATTTTTAAGTAGCTAATAGCTGTATCAACAGCGCTTCTACTATTTTGTAAAATAGAGGCAGCAATGGCCAGTTACATTTTTTATAAAATAGTGGTGCCGATAGCGCGCGATATTTAAAAGTAACTTTTAACTGCATTGGTATTACCTTTATAATAAGTTTAGATACAATATAATTTTGTTGATACATAAAAATTGCCTTATAAATATATTTCTTTCGTTTCTGATGCAATTTTTTTAAAAATCAGCTGTGCCTAAAATAATGGTCTTATCATCATTACTAACAAGAAATAAACTTCTCTTATATGTTTTACACATCTCGTCGGTAAGCCTTACATTTTCTATCGAACTAGGAGGAATCGGTAATTCGTTCCTCTTCACTCGTCATGGTTTTTTCTTTATATTTAGGGAGGATAAATAGTAGGTTTGCTCTCTTCAGCATGAAACGCATAATATTTTCGTAGATTTTTTTCACATTTTATCTGGATTACTTCTAAATAATTATATAAATATATATTTCCTAATATATTTTGATATCTTATATATAATCCTTAAATTTGGAACAATTCCGACAAAACTCATTAAGAAATATTTTTAAAAAATGTAGAAAGCAAAATATAAATTTATCTAACTACCTGTTATTCTTTTTTTTTTGATTGTTTAAAAAAAAAATTGTAAATTTTTCATAAAATATTTTGTAAAAAATATAAAATAGATAAACATGATTAAATTATTAAAGAAAATTTAAATATAGGATAAAAAATTTGAATTACTTAACATTGTCTTTCAATTTATTATGAGTATCAAGGGCATCAATATCACTTCTCTGATTTTGGTGTTCACAATGTCCTATTGTTATCCCTAACATCCCATTACTCAAGTTGCCCCTGGCCTTACATGCGGTATTTCTACATATTTAATATGTCAAGGGTAAAAAATATAATTATCTTTCACTATTAGGAATCCATTTTTTTGAGAAGAAATTACCCAATATGATCTTATAAAAAATATTTATCAAATATAAAAACATCAAAAAAATATTATATTACCTATCTACATCAGCTATATCCTTATCTAGTAATATATTTTAGACAATAGGTTGAACATATCTAGAGCTACTAGCAATATCACTAGGGAGGTGGTAAGTGTAGTAATGCAGGAATATATTCTAATATACTATTTATTCATTATGAATT